AAGTTCCCTTTGTCAGGCTCAGCAGAACAAATTCAGTAACTTGTAACCTCCTTCATCCCAACAAGACCAGAAGCAAAACATTTACCACAAGTGTCTCCTTAAGCCAAATACCCAAATAAGCTTTATCATATGAGTATCACCTGTCAAATGCAAGCCATTACCTCCAATCAATAATGGAAAAATCAACACTAGAACAGATGGCCCTTCTTCAAGCCTAATTGCACCTTGGTACACACCTCAAACAAATACTGCACTTTAGAAATATCTTCCTTGGCAGTAAATTAACAGATTAGCTTGTTTGATTTCCTGCACCATCAAGCTCACCAAAAGATAATATTTATTAAGAATTATCCTTTTCAGTTTAAAAGAAGAACAAACTGAACTAGAAGGTAAAGCTTCCTGTATGCAAAGTAGCAGCTTGCTTTCAGAGTACTTCAGGAATTAAACCAAGTAACAGCATTTAATCTTTATAACTCCAAGATGCAATCAAACCTGCTGTAAATTCATTTAAGAAGATCCTTTGAAATAATTTTGAATTAGCATGAGATACTGCTATGGGCACTCTGGACAAAAAAAAAACCTTGTGGCTTTCATAAATTAGGCAACTTTGAATGAAGCAAAAATCTCAGCTAACACCAACGTCTCCAGAGTCTCCAAAATTATTACTCAAAAGCTCCTTGTTAATAAAGTACACAAGCACAGATCTGAAACCAAACAGCAGTATTTTCCTGAATAGTCAGCTCTCATAATAATAATCAGACTCAGAGGAAAGAGCTTACAAGGCAGTAATTAGAGACTGACCAGGGAAAAGGGCAGGCTTTCAGCTTCTGGCTGCTACAGAAAGGAAAGCTGAAGGCAGAAATTGTTGTCATCCAGGGGCCAAACCCACGCTCTGGACACAGCAACATGGACACATCCACAAGGGCCCCTCTAGAGTCTTTTGGAGGAAGAGGGAAGGGGGCTCAGGGTCTGCCCTGGCTGCATCTGTGCAACAGCTGAGCTGGATGAGACAGGCACATGCAGGTGAGTCAGGGAAAGAAATGCCACGACACCCACCCACAGCAAATATTGCTCATAACTGGGGTCAGAACATGCCTTTTTAAGCCAAGTAATAGAATGGGTTTGCCTACATTTCTAACAGCTCTCTAAAGAGGCACTCACAACGTGCATATACAGATTACTATTATGTTACAGAGAAACCATCTGGGGCAAAGCACTGCCTCACTCTAATCCATGCTGCAAACACACTGCCCATAGCGTGCCTGGCCCAGAGAGGCTGGCAGGAGCCAAGTGGGCATGTAATCAAGAACTGTGCACCCTGTGCACAACAAACAAGGTTGCTTTTTTAAGTAGGTGTGTAATGCCTGACCTGAAATTCATGCCTTGACATACAGGAACGCATATGCTAGGATCAGGGGTACTCAGTGCTCTGGCTCATGCTTGGTCCCAGCAGTATTCAGCCACCTCTCCTGGCTGGGTGCAGATGCCCTCTTCTCTGTGCCATATTTCATCTCAAAGTCTGCCCAGTTTGTGCCCTGGAATGATTTGAAACATTATCTGACTCACTGCAAGCAGCTCAGTTTTGCTAACCTGCAGTGCCTGACAGAGCAGGGTACTGGGGGCAGGTCTGTTCCCAGCTGAACTCAAACATGCACCAAGGAAAAAAATGAGATGGTAAAAATGCTGGGATTCCAGGCAAAAGCCCTCAAGTCACCTCACCTGCAAACCCTTAGAGCAACTCATGACCCAGCTGTGCGTGACAGCTTCTGGCTTTCACAACAGGCTACAAATTTCAACATAACATTTCAACATAACAGCCAGCAGTGCTAATTTAAGGGAAACACAGGATTTAAGTTTCCTTTCCCTTTGTTGTTGTTGTGGGGTTTTTTTTCAGAGAATCATGTTTCAACTAAGAAGGTGGCAGAGCACAACAGCAAAGCAGAACTATTAAAGATTGCCACCTGCCAGACAGCATCAAGTAACACAAAGCACCATCATGTTCTTTCATTCAATAAATTCTTGATTTTTAACTCAAAATAAGCCTCAAAACAGGTAACCATGTTGAGCAGTTCTGGCAACTGTGCAATTTTTGCACACAAGGACATAATTTGTGGTAAGCACCAAACTACAGTTAACCAACTCATGCTACATAAGAAGGAAATCCAGCATTACCACGTAATAATAAACACTATTATATACTGTTTATAAGTATATTTATATACTCTACATATAGTGGGTTTTTTATAAACACTCAAGTAACAGGGACAATCTTGGCCTCAAATACAAACACAACATCTTTTTGGCTTCTAATAACTCTTTGTGCCAATTTTGTCAGGTACAGTAAGCATGAGAAACCAGAGTCATACATCTGGATGGAAAAAGCTCAGTGGAGCAGAGTAGCAGCTTTTGAGCCATTACTCTGCAGCCTCCCTGAGTTCTGTGAGTTTGCCCTAAGACAGTCTGAAAGAGGTAGCTAAAAAAAGCAAAACAAATAGGAGGAAACTCCAACTCAGGACAGAAGGGTTCACATTCCCACTGGGAAAAAATGAGGAGAGACATGGAGTCAAACAGCAAATGACTAAAAGCCACTGTATTTGTTAAGCCTCAGAATCACATGGACGTGACTCGCATAAATCAAAACTCTTCCTCTGTGAAGTATTGATTCTTGGCAAACAAATCTCAGCATAAACATATTGACTGTTAGCAAACTGATTGCTGGGAAGGGCTCTTCCGTTGGCATCAAAATGGGTTTTGATGCAGGAATCACAAAATCCTCCAGCATCTGTGGGAACAGACCTGCACACAGAGGGGGGGGTTGCCTTCAAAATGTTGGCTGGGCTTGCCAGAAAGGAAATTGCTCTTGTCCTTGGTAGCGCATTGCTGGATTTCTAACAGGTTTCCCACAAAGCACACCATGTTTAATATGGAAAATGACTACACAGCTCCTTACCTGAACCATCAGGGATGGACCTCACAAATGTAGGAAGCATCTTCACTGCAGCTGTTGGGTTAAAATCTCTGGAGAGGCCGTTCTTCATCTCCCTCCTGAAGCGAGCCATGATGTCGATCAGCGTTTCATCGGAGAGCCTCATGGCGTAAAGGTATTTATCAATCTGGGCGAAAAAGACAAACACCACCACAGTATGAAAAACTGCCTGGAGGTGCCCAAGAGGGGCTATAACCCTCTTGAATTATAGCCCCAGATTGGCCTCGGGGCTCCAGCCAAGCTGACAACACAGCCACGTGCTTCTTTTCTTGTCTTTTGACTCAAAATGAAGGAAAACGGGCAATTGCTAGGAGCTATGTGAGCTGGAGCCCTCTCCATCCTACTGCCTTCCCAAGGCAAGACCACATCACTACCTACTCTCTTCCACACAAAGCAGTTCACCCACAGCCTCACACCACTATCTCTAGCTCTCACCCCACTTCTCAGGTCTCTTGGCTACCCATGAGCTGAAGCTAAAAATCCCTCTTTTGGTACCTTGTCCCAGCTGGGGTGATGTGGGTGTCACTTCAGTCCACAGAGGTGCCTTTTACTTTAAAAGCCTTTCATTGTGAAGGACTTGCCACAGCAGTTTTGGGGCTACATCCCCAGTTTCTGTGCAGCTGATCATTTTTCCTATCCTGCTCCAAAGCTATTCCAGCCAGTGGGTCAGAAGAGGCAGAACTTGGTTGCGGGTAGGTAGTGTCTTCCTCCTCAAGATGAAACATCAAATTAAAGAGTTGTTGACTTCTCCCTTGTGGTTTCCCAAGGCAGGAACTTTCTTTACCTCCCTGAAAAAAGGAGGTGCCTCCAGTTTGCCAGTAGTGTTGCTTTCCATAATACTACATCCATCTTTGGCACCAGGATGAGTGAGAGATGCTTTGATGCCTCAAAAACCTGACTTGGCCTTGGGGGGTTATTGCTAAATGCATGTCTAACCCCTTCTACCTTAGCTGCCAGTCTGTTCTTGCCTTGTTTCATGATCTGCCTTGAAAATTTGGTTCTGCAAACAGCTCAGACTGAAGCCACACCTTTTGGATCACTTTTGCTTCCAGCTTAGTAGGACCAAGAAAACAAAACCCTGCCCATGTTTTCTGTCCTTAGTAAAACTGGAAAAACCACTTCAATCTAAAACCCAGGCCATCCCCTGTGGCAAAGCCACCTGTGTCTTCTTTGCTGCTCTGGAAGCCTGGAGGACAATTATGTTCTAAGAAGAGCAGTGCGACAATAAAACACCCCATGTAAAAAGTACCTATGCAAGGGCTCCAGATACAGGGACTTTGCGACAGGAAGCGATGAATAATGCCATTCGCAAAGGAAATGCAGACAATAAAGATGTAATTAAACCCTAAACTGATCGTTAAACCAGCGCCAATTTAATTGCTCCTGCAGAAAGTACTTCTGTCCACACATAGCTGAGGTCTGCACCAAAGATAGCATATCTCCCCAAGCCAGACGCCCTCCCACCGTGACCAAGCATTTGCAGAGGGAGGAAGGCAGGGATGGATGGTGGAGCTGGGTGCAGCTACCTGGCCTGACCCTGAGCTGCAGGGCTGGGGCTGGGGGCCAGGCAAGCCTGAACTGCAAGGCCACTGACAAGCTGCCAAGTGTTCAGTGCCATTGCTCACAGAGGAAGAGCAAAACAGGCATCAAAGAGACACTCAGGAGGAGAAGTTACAGTCCAACAAAATGATACCACGCACTGGCTCCATGAACCAGCAGAGTGACGGTGCTGGCTTGCAGCTCAACAGCAGAAGAGCTGAGCCCAGGTTCTCCATTGCAGAGGACAAATGTGAGACTCCAGGGCAGCATCCCCCACATCCCAGCTGTGTCCTCTGCTTCCCTGATGGGCTGAGAGCCCTGTCACAGTGACAGCCACAGCCAGTCACTAGTGTCACTGCACTCCAAGAACAAAAACCTGGACAGGATGCATCCTCTCTGCAGCCCCAAACAGTGTAGGGACAAATGTAGGGGCTGGTGCTGGGCAGGCAGGTCTCTCCTCCATGGCAAACCCTGCCATAGTTTTTTTTTTAGCAGAAGCCGTCAACCCATAATGTTAGAGCATGAGGTTGTTCCCTTTTAAAGGCAGGGGAACACAGAGGGGGACGGGACACCAACTCTGTTAAGGCTGAGCTTTCATCAGCCCACGCTGCTGCTCAGAAACCTGATTCCGCAAATCTCCCAGTGAAAGCTACACTAACACATCATCCACAGTCAGAATTCACTGTGCAATTAAAACACTCCCCTACAAAGCCCTGCTGCCACATGCTCCTCCCAAAAACAGGGCTGATGGATTCTCTCCCACCAAAAGCCCTGCTGTGAAGGCAGCTTCTGGGGTTTGCACGGTCAGGACCAGACAAGCCTGCCTTCCCCCACTTCTGCCCCTGTGCCACTCTCAGCAGCCAGGGAAAACAAGGAGGGAGGGCTCTTTTTCCTCCTATGGAAAATCCAACAGGCGCCTGTCAGCAGCCTTACATAATTGGACTGGACCCTCCTGCGTGCGGGGAGCATCGCCTCGCGTTGCATCGCGGGGCATCACGTTGCTTCACATCCAGGCCATCCTCAGCGCTGAGCCTCACGGGGTGGGGAGGGGGGGAAGATGGGGACTAAACCTCGGCTGGAAACAAAATCACTCCTGTGTGTTACAGTTTCCAAAAAAAAAATTTAAAAAATAATTAAAAAAAAAAAAGCCACAACATTTTTTTTTTCCCCTCCCAGGCAGGAAAAGGGTTAGTCATTCCAACAGTACAGCTGCAAGGGGAAAAATAAAATTGCTGCTCTCCTGTGCTGGCAGCACAAACAGCCGCCCTCTGAAGGAAAACCCTCAGCAAACAGCCATAAATAAGTGGGGCAGGGGAGGGAGCTAGAGGCTGGATTATAGGATGGAGGTTTAATAACTCCCTGCTCTGCCTGCAATAAAAGCCGATCAGAAAGCAAATCTCAGCCTTGTCCAAAGGGAAGCAGCAGAGGGGTTGGCAGGGACAGAGGGGGGAGCTGCAGCCCCTCTGAGGCTCTCCTGGCTGTGGTCCTGTGGGAGATGGGAGCCAGCCTTTTCCCGGAGATGGCAGAGAACAGGAGTGATTCCAGGCAGGCAGTTGTGTGGGCAAGGAGTAGAAAACGCTTCTTTATTTAGCTGCCACCTCAGAGCCAGCCCCCGAGGAAGGGCATCTTCCCAGGGTGCCACTACAGGAGCCCTCCAAGACCTCAATCCCCTTTTAATTTTTCTTTAAAAAAAACAAACAAAAAAAAACAAACAAAAAAAAACAGCCAGGCAGAATCTGTGAGCAATTTTTTTTTTTAATAGGATTTCATAATCTCAACCATATGAACCTAATTTGTCTCGGTCATGTAGGAAAGACACTTCTTGTACTTGGGGAAAAGACATTTCTGAAAATCCAGCCATCAGAGCAGCCTCCACTGAAGTTGTGAATAATTATCCCTGCCTAATGAAACAGGCAGCACTAAGGGCCACCCCCTGAAACGCACACCTCATTCCCCGGACACTGACAACAGTCAATAGTATCCAAGAACAGAGCACTCCCATGATTTCAGACATCATTAGCACCTATTGTACTGACAGAGCCTTTGCACGAAAACCCTTCAGCATGTAAACACTTTTCTGCAGAGCTAATCATACTCCATACTCCTTTCAGCATCGGGAAGATTCCTCAGGAGCCAAAGCATGTTAAAACAAGTAGTTTAGAGATCCTGAAACTGTTTGTACTTACTCACGATTTATCAGATTGGTTCCTAAAAAGCCTCTATACTGGCAGATAACTGCTACAGGGCTTGTTTGGATGCCAGCTACTACATTTTACACCCCATTCCATCATGCTCTTCTCAAGGTGAAATGCCATTTAAAGTCACTCTTGGATTACAAGTTTTTTTTTCTTTTCTTGTCAGATAATATGACAAAAAAAGTATTGTTTCCCATTTGGTTGCCAAGGAGTAGAAACCGCTTCTTTATTTAGCTGCCACCTCAGAGCCAGCCCCCGAGGAAGGGCATCTTCCCAGGGTGCCACTACAGGAGCCCTCCAAGACCTCAATCCCCTTTTAATTTTTCTTAAAAAAAAAAAAAAACCAAAAAAACAACAGCCAGGCAGAATCTGTGAGCAATTTTTTTTTTTATAGGATTTCATAATCTCAACCATATGAACCTAATTTGTCTCGGTCATGTAGGAAAGACACTTCTTGTACTTGGGGAAAAGACATTTCTGAAAATCCAGCCATCAGAGCAGCCTCCACTGAAGTTGTGAATAATTATCCCTGCCTAATGAAACAGGCAGCACTAAGGGCCACCCCCTGAAACGCACACCTCATTCCCCGGACACTGACAACAGTCAATAGTATCCAAGAACAGAGCACTCCCATGATTTCAGACATCATTAGCACCTATTGTACTGACAGAGCCTTTGCACGAAAACCCTTCAGCATGTAAACACTTTTCTGCAGAGCTAATCATACTCCATACTCCTTTCAGCATCGGGAAGATTCCTCAGGAGCCAAAGCATGTTAAAACAAGTAGTTTAGAGATCCTGAAACTGTTTGTACTTACTCACGATTTATCAGATTGGTTCCTAAAAAGCCTCTATACTGGCAGATAACTGCTACAGGGCTTGTTTGGATGCCAGCTACTACATTTTACACCCCATTCCATCACGCTCTTCTCAAGGTGAAATGCCATTTAAAGTCACTCTTGGATTACAAGTTTTTTTTTCTTTTCTTGTCAGATAATATGACAAAAAAAGTATTGTTTCCCTGACAGACGGAAACCAGACAACACCTAGAAGCTCCCTTTGCTGGGGCCAGCTACTGCAGGTACAAACCTGTTGGAAACAAAGGTGCTCAAAGGCAGCTTTACAAAAGCTCCTGGGTGTACAGGCCAGGGACTCTTGTGGTGCCCACATCCCTGAGGATGGGAGTCAGCCTTTCAGAGAAATTAAAGCCCCAGTTTGGGCTGTGTCAAGTCCTCTGCCACAGCAAGGATGTTGAGCTCAAGCTGCTGCCCCTGAAGGATTACAAAGATTCTGGGAGCAGATGTTTCCAAAAGCAAAGGGATAATTTATCCTGCTCTGAGTAAAACCACATGCCTGTTTGTATGGTGCAAGGCATTGTACATCACCAGCTTGGTTCTGCACAGCAGGGTCATGTGCAAGTACATGGGAAAATGCCCCCTTGTATGGGCTGTCAAGCCATGGGGCTGCCAAGGCATGATGAACCACCCACATTTTCAACACTACAGAATCACAGAACCACTTATGTTGGAAAGGACCTTCAAGGCCATCAAGTCCAACCATTAACCTTGCTCTCCCAAGTCCAGCACTGAGCCATATCCCCAGGTGCCACATCTAGATGACTTTTAAACACATACAGGGATGGTGACTCAACCACCTCCCTGGGCAGCATGTTCCAGTGTCTGTCAACCCTTTCAGTGAAAAAGTTCTACCCACTGTCTAGTCTAAACCTCCTCTGGTGCAGCTTGAGGCTATTTCCTCTTGTTCCATCAGCAGTTACTTGTAAGAAGGGACCAGCACCTATCCCTTCACAGCCTCCTTTCAGGTAAATGTAGAGAGCAATGAGCCTCTGCCTCCTTTTCCTCAGACAAAACAGCCCCAGTCCACCCTGCCTATCCCTCCTGATGACCACAACTCATCTTGAAAAATGTTCCAGAAACAGCAAAGTGGGAAAAAATTACTCTGAAACTTAAGGAGTGTCTAAAATCCAGCAAACCCTGTATGGAAGCAGTACGCACTAGTTCTTAGACCCAAGGTGTCCTGAGGGTCTGAAGCCACCTTCCCCTCAGCAGGGATCCCACCACAGAAAGGCAGCACCAAGCATTAGTGCCACAGAGGCATAGGAACACCCAAAAAATAGAGGAAATAGGGCTGCAAGGGAAGAAGAACCTTCAGCCTCTGAGCAGTGGAGCCCCCTGTAGCAAATCCATTCCCAAATACACCTCCCCAGTACTTTTAACCCTTTCACACCCCTCCTGTGATCCACAGCAGCATCCTCAAGGTGACCTGCCACCTGTGCCACCAAATGACAAGCTGCTCACTGCCACGGACAAGCGAGGCAGAGGAGGAGCAGCCATGGCAGGCAGGAGCCCCATGGGCAGAGCGATGAGTGGGAATGCCTTGGTCAGCAGCCCCCGGCCGCAAGCACGTACCAGCAGCAAGGGCTGCTCTTCCGGAAGCAGAGAGCAGAGGGAGGGACCTGACACGAAGCCATGCAGGCACGTATTCCCAGAAGCAGCGCGTTGAGATGGAGCAAAACGCCCTTTGCAGGGTACCAGGGAGCAGAGCCCATCCAGCTGCCAGCGGCTGTGGGGTGGCAGAGCTTCTGACTGCCACAGAAACCCTCCCTACAGGGTGGCCAAAAGTGAAGCGGGGGGGAGGCTCAATATCCGCTCCAAAAGGACACAAACAGGAAAAGATGCCTTACATCCTCCCAAACCAGTAGCCTGGTTTATTGGGGTTTTTTTTGTTTGTTGTTGGTTTTTGGTTTTGGGGTTTTTTAATTGGATTTTCTTTTTTTTTTTTTTTTTCAATGTTCTGTTTCAGACAAAACCAGATCGGTCCCTAACAATGCCCCCCAGCTCCCCCAGCCAAACAACTTCCCCGGGCAGTCAGACAATAGCAGCCTCATGGTGCCGAAACCAGCCTGCAATAAATAACCCCCGGGAACACCACAGAGCTTCCCTGCTGCCTGCACTGCTCCCACCCAGCCTTCCCCACGCAGCCCTTCTGCTGCTCCTCAGCCTTGTGCTTATCTTGGCTTTCTAAATATAACAGGCACGGCGAGACAGAGAAGGCCTTACCCAGGCATGCACGCCTGGCGCCAGCAGCAGCACTTAAAAATCCTCCAGGAATAGGAAAATGAGGGGCCTGGGAAAAAGGGAGAGGCAGATCCGTGGGGCCAGTAGGTGCAGAAAGCTGCGCACGGCCTTCAGATCCTTGTGAAACACACTGGGTGGAGAGGAGAAAGATCTGAACCACAGGAGGAGCTCTGGAAAATATGGGGTGCTGTCTCTGTTATCCAACAGAGGAGCAGGCAGGGCCAGCTTGTCTTGAGTGGGGCAGGACAAGTCAGCCCCACACAGAGATAAGGTCAACCCAGGCACAGCCAGGAACCCAAAGGAAGGACGTGCTCTCCTCCTGCCAGAACAAGCCCTGAGACCACTACAAATCAGTCCTATTAACACTTGAGGCTTCCCAAAATACCTCAGGGATGCCCTCAGGCATCTGCAGGTCAGGCTGCACCAGAGGAGGGGGGAGAGGGGCAGCCCCTGCGCCCCGACGT